CAGCTGAACCCGCACAACCACATGCAGGTTTGCGGGGCGTGCCGAGCCCGGGTGGGGGGTGGCTGTGGGTTGGGAACGGGCTGGAATTACAGCATCGCTGAGCTCGCGTTGCCCTGGAACCTGACAAGGATAAGCGTCACGTCTGTTACCTGCAAGTGAAAACGTGAAGCGCCACGTGGATTACACTTGTGGGATGGGATGGCAGTGAAATGGAAATAACAGCAGTATTTCTGGGTTTCTGGTAATTGGAGGGGTAAAAGGAGCACGTGAGAAAATCAGAAGCGCTGTGGTTGGTTTCTGCCCTTCTTTACCTTCTGACACAGATGCAGATTGGAGTAAATCCCTTGAACTGGCCCAGCGGCTCCCTCTGCTCCCAGCCTGCCTTCCCTGGGCACGGCTGCTCCTGCTCAGCCTCTCTGCTTGGCCTTTCTGGGTGTCTGTATGTAAACAAGAATTGCTTACCAAGATGGAATGATCTGTGTACTAGCTCTGTAAAATCTGATGCAAATGTTAATAGATGTTCACATGATGGGTATCTGTGCACCCATACTTAGTGGCAATGACTACTTCAAACCAGAGCAATAGTGGTGTACTTTCACAGCATTTTCGTTGGAGGCAGAGCTGGTCTGTGTCCTGTGTTTTTGATGCTCCAGTTACCTGGAATTGCAGTTCCATTGATCAGTCTTTCAACTTTTAAGTTGTGGTTTTATGTAAAAGATAGCTTTGATATATTGCTTTGACTTATATATTTTATTTTTCCCCTCAGCTGTATTCTTCATCTCTTGATGGCAGCATTAAGCTGTGGGACTTCATGGATGGGATTCCCATTAAGGTATGCTGAGTTATTCCCATTTGGCACATGTCAAAATTATTCTTGACCCACTGATTGTAGAATATGGTTTTCTGCAGCTCTTACTACAGATGGGCACAAATCAGCCTGAGATGTGTTCTGCCATTAGCACAGCCTGAAAAGCATCTATTTATGGCAGTAAGAGATGTGGCAGTTGATGTGTGTGTCATGGTGATGCAGAATCTCTTGGGGAAGATGGGGGATGTACTGACATGCTGCTCCTTGGGTTCTTGCTGCTATGGTTCAGAGTCCAGATATCTTAGAATCAAGAACTATAATTAGTACATGAATGTTTCTTCAAAGCACATATATTTTCCTTATTTTAAAAACTTGGCATTATTCGCTGTTGAAAAGCATACACACAGGTGTAATAACTGTTCACCTTCTCTTTTTTACTTCAGACTTTCTCTGTAGGATCCAAACTTCTGGCACTGTACACACTTGCTAGTGCTGAGGACATGGTGTTTGTTGTCATTCCGAAGAGGGGTGAACGAGGTACAGTGATTAGCATCATCCTTGTCACTTCAGTCATTCTGTGTGTGCTCTACTGTCACATCAGTGAGTGGTGTGCTGCTGGAATGTGCTTTAGTATGTTCATTTGGAAAATATCAATGGCAGTTGTCTGCAGTCCTGCATTTTGTGCCTGTTTTCTCTCTTTGTTCTGTGGCATCTGTTATTTCAGTAGTTGTCTGGAAGGGTGTTGCCTTTGCTTTGCACATATAGTGCCTGTGTTTGAGCTCAGAGATGCAATAAATCTTTCAGCAATGCTTACCAAGTCATAGGGTACACTACTTGAGTTAGGGATGAGTACTTGAGAGTACTCTTCTACCTCGAGCAGTATTAAAATAAATAGACTTGTCCTGTTTAACAGCATGCCTAGACATTTTTTATAGGATTTTGTCTGAAATTAATATAGTTTGGCCTTACTCTTTGCTATAATCTATTGCTCCTTCAGAACAAGAGCAAACACTGTGCAGCTTTGTTTGGTTTCTGCTTACAGTTGTACTGATACTTGCTGTCCAGTCCTCATTCTTCACTACTACTGTTTGAAACAAACAGATTTTTCCTCTGGTCAGATACATTCCAGTTGGTCTCAGTGAAGCTGGCAAAAGCAGCAGGCCAAGATGTGGAAGCCAAGGAGCTGTCAGTGGTTCTGGATGGTGTGGGTGCATCACTGAGGCACATTGCATTTGGAAGAGAAGTAAATTCACCTTTGAGGTTTTTTCTTCTATGGAATATTGTTGGTTGGTTGGGGTTTTTCTCCTCTCAAATGAATTGTGTGCTCTTTATGTCCCTATACAAGCCTAGCAGCACTGAAACAAAACTGAAACGAAATGATTTATGTAAGACCAATTCTTTTTTTTATCTTCAAAAAGAAACATCAGTGTTTATGTATGTATGTATCTACTTAAGCTTATATTCAAAAAGAAACATCAATGTTTATGTATGTATGTATCTACTTAAGTATGTATTTATATGTTGCCTCCAATGTTAATTACTTGGTAGTGAAAAGTGATTTGTTTTGTCTTTCATGTGTATGAACATAACCTGCATGTCCAAAATTGTTTCCCTTGAACAGGGTGAATATGTGGTGTCAGTGAAGGACCTTAATCTCCAAGTTTATTTCTTTAAATGGAAACAGTTGAACAGGTAAGAGTGAAAATGAAAACATAAGGTATCGATCCAGTCTGACATATCACACATGTTTAGTATCTGGTGATGTGTGCACATGATTTCATATTTTTCAGCAGCCATTGGGTTTTATGCTGAAGGGGATGTAGTCACTATATAAGAAGCTTGTCATGGAAGCAGATAGTGAGCACTGCAGTGGCAGTGGTACCTCGGCTTTGCAGCTCAGGCATGTATTTTTTTTTAGGGAGATGCTTAGACTGGTGTTGAACTTAAATAGATGACATAGTTTGGGCAAGAGGAGGAAGGGGGAGTGGAAGGAGAGAGAGGAAGAAGCAAAGAAGTCTTTCAGCTTGATTGAAGGCAAAGAACTAATGAAATAAAGAGAAAAAATAAGTCTGCCACCATTTGGTTGAGGCTGTGTGTAACCACAACAACTTGGAGATGTTTAATTTTGCTATTCAGACCTATTTATATGTGCACTAGCTGATCCCTTTGAAGATTTGTTTTAAAACAACCCAACCCAACTGCTTGAATTAAAGTTACTTTCTTAACTCTTGAAGGTTTTCTCTAAGTGCGGTGAAGACCAAAGGTGGAGACAATCACTTCAGTTGTGTGGTGTGCCATCCCACAGAGGATTGCATTGCAACTGGCCATGCCGATGGGAAGATTCGCCTCTGGTATGCACATCTTGATTCCACTGTGTACCTGTAGACTGCTCTGACCAAAGGATTTAAGTGAAACCTGAGCAAAGCAGTCTAATTTGTCCTTCCATTTTCCTTCCATTTTCAGAGGTCATAATGAGCAAAGTATAAGGACTGAACCTGCAGTACTGTCATAGAGTGCAGGGGACAGCTTCAGCTTAATAGCAGATGGAAAAAGTACTTCTGTTAAGCTGTGCTTCATGAATCTAAATTTGTTTGAAAAAGGTAATGCAGGAGCAGCTGAAATAACTGTTAATGGGCAAGTAACGTCCTAGGGAGAGCACACCATGAATCTAAACTTGTTTGAAAAAGGTAATTCAGGAGCAGCTGAAATAACTGTTAACGGGCAAGTAACGTCCTAGGGAGAGCACACCAGTGGAACTACAGCATTAAAACAAATATGCTTGCCAAGTTGTTTCCAGGGCTCAGTTTCTCAGTACATCTCAGATGCGAGGTGTGTACCAGGAGGGTTCTGAAAACCTTGCTAGTGTGATTCCTTCCCTCCCTCTGCATCACTTGAGCATACAAGACACTAGAAGTTAGAGGAGAGGATGATATACTTGATTCAGTTCAGTATTTCTTTTTGTTAACTCTGCTGTTGATGTTGTGAGTAAATTGTTCTGTTCCTCCCTACATAGGAGGAATTTCCATCATAGGAAAGAATACACATATTCCACGCTGCACTGGCATCATGATACTGTCATGGATCTGGCTTTTTCTATGGAGGGTGAGTGAAAAAAAAAACACCAAAAAAAATCCACCTCCAGAAAACAAACAAGAAAACCCTCTCAAAGTCTGAGAATTGCAGCGGGGAGGGAAGAATCAATAGAAGTTTGGGTTTGTCCACTTACTAACAAATTAACTTGTAGAACCTTAAATATGTCCAGGAAGGATCTGAAATAAAATGGATGCAGTTGTTGTTTTTACGGTATATTTTTGATTGGCATACATAATGTCAGATATTTACTATTGTGGTAGAATGTAAAATCTAACCCCTGCTCTCACCTCTTTTCCTCCACCTCCACTCGCCCTCCCCCTTCCCTTTCATCAGTAATACTAATGAGTTCTTGCCAGTCTTGTTTGCATTCACATAAAACAAGCCAGTCTTGTCTGAGCTGAAACCTAGAGTGAAAAATATTTCACTTTTACTTGAATTATGTGATCTGAACTATTCTCCTTAAGGTATTTTTTTAGTGCAAAGTACTTCTGATAGAAGGAGAACAGTACAGCTACATTCTAACACAAGTACTCAGCTGATTCAGAAAGTAATGGGATCTCCTGCTCCCAAAGCATTGTTTAAATTTTACTGTAGGCACAAATTCCTGTTACTTAATCCAAGTTTCTCTACCAATTTAACATGAGATAATGAGAAACATCTACATGTGTTGCCCAAGCTCAGTGTATTTGCTTTGTATGTGACAGTTTTGATAAACTTAGGTTTGTCTGTCATTGTGTTTTTTTGTAAGCTAAACCTCTAACTGCATTTTTCTTGCTGAAAAAGGAACCAGGTTGCTGAGTGGTGGAGTTGAAGCTGTTCTGGTCCAGTGGCACAAGGAATCAGAGCGTCAGAAGGATTTCCTGCCTCGTTTGGGATCTCCTATTGAGTATATCTCTATGTCCTCTGATGGGGCACTCTGCTGCACATTGCATTCAGACAATAGTAAGCTAAAACATGTTTTAAATATCACTTAATGCAAAATGGAATGCAAATGTCTATGGGGTTTATTTGGTTAATTTTAGATGAATTAACTGGATACTGCATAAAATTTGAATACTGATCTGAAAGAACAGATGCTTGAGGTGATCTTTCTTCAGTTCTGTGGATTTGCCTGGTGGCTGCTGTTACTTGGCTTTCCACCTTGCTGCAGGGCTGTCATAAATTGAGAAAAGATCCATTTACAGCATTAAGTTTAGTTGTTTATTGTCCCTTCCCCACCCATGAGATGTTGTGTTGCAGAAGCCTTTTGCAAGACTTTGCTTGCTTTTGCCTTTCAGGAATTACAATAATCAACAGCAACCTGAGGTTTTCCAGAAGTATTCAAGGGCTAATCAAAAGTAAGTACAGTAAAATTTATCTTCCCTTTAGAGGGTGGAATGTATCAGTTACCATCCTTGGTCATTTGTCATCTGATTTTTGTTTCCAGGTATGGATGTCAAGACTGGTCTAGTGGTTGATCCTAGAACCAAAGCTTTGGTCCTGAATGGAGAGCCTGGCCACCTGCAGTTCTATAGTCTCCAAAGTGATCAACAGCTGTTCAGTGTAAGTTGGATGGGCTTGTACCAAAACTTTAACTTCTTTGATCGAGTAACTTGTGCATCAGAATTTATTTGAAGACATAATATGGCAGATAAGACTGGATTCCAAGCTGAGGTGTTCTTGGCTTTTCACAAACTTTTTACTTGTTAATCATAGCTAAATGTTAAAGCTGAAAAAAATACTTCGAAACAGTGTGCTACTCCTGTTAAATGTCAGAAATTTCTAGGTAAAATCTCTCTGCATTAGTTTTTCATCCTTCCTACACTTAGCTTCATTGTGGAACACAAAGGCCCTAATTATGCTTTCCCCACGTGCTGGGCTTGTTTTTTATGCCACAGCCCAGTCAGGTCTAATTAGTGCTTTCAGAACATCCATTCTCATGGTTGAAAATGGTCTCTTTTATAGCTCCATGCGAATTTTGAATTTTGGCCTTGCTTTGCAGCTGGACATTGTGCAACGTCAGTACATTCACGAGGCAGGTTTGAAGCAGGCTGACCTAGTGAAGGTGGCCTTCAGCGCACGAGGCACCTGGTTAGCCACAGTAGAAGAGAGCGAAGAAATCACTGACCCTGAGTTACAGCTGAAGCTGTGGTTCTACGATGAAGAAACACAAAGGTAACAGTAGCAGAGGTGTCAGTCATAGAAACATCTGCACAGATGTTGTCTTGCAGAGTTTTTCCACATCGACTAATAAAACTCTAGGGAAGACTTTAGGAAGTTTATCATGCACACAGAGTTGCAGTAAATATGGATTTTATATGATTGCTCTGCATCTCTTTGACTTAGAATAATCAGGCTGTTTTAACCATGGGACTTAAATTCACATCTTTCCTTGGTATGAAAAATCATTGACCTGACAGAATGGTTCTGGAGCTTGTCCAGTTTTTCCACCTCTGTCCAATTAATTGATTAGTCCTCAGGTACTAAAGATTAGACTTTATTGGTGACTTTAGGTAATATATGCATCTGGTTAATACACTTTCCCTAGTTTTCCTATTTTAAAAAATTTACATTTTGAATATAAGTTGTTTTTTTCTTAAGAAAAAAAGCAAAAGAATGTTGATCTGTGTAGTAGTTATGTGACTGATTTTTCTAAGTACTGGAAAGACTGCCTGGAGTTCAGGCTGAATATTTGAGAGATGCTTGCCTAGTGATAATCCTTTCTCAGTGCAGGGCTCCAATCTCTGCTGTATGGAAGTGATTAGGGAAATCTGATCTGTAAATGCAATATCATTTAATTGTCTAATTAGACAGAAGTTTCTTTGATTCCTCTTCTCCCTGCCCATTCCAGAATAATTTTAAACTGAAGTCTTTCCCAAGTGCAATAGAATGGTAAACTTCTGTTTTATTTTCCTATAGCTTTAAGCTGAATACTAGAATAAATACACCCCATGACAACCACATCACAGACATGTGCTTTCGTGACATGGATGAGCTGGAAGATGACTCTCTGATATTGGTAACAACTGGCAGAGACTGTGTGTTTAAAGTCTGGGTGATGGTAGAAGACTCTGATCCAGAAGGTAACTATGGTCAAAACACAGCTTACACTTACTTAAACACCTTGTAATACAGATTCATAAGAACATCCTGACTTGGAAGGGACCTACAAGGATCCTCCAAGTCCAACATGCTATAAAATTTCCAACCCTCCCTTCATTTGCTCGGTCCTGTGCATTTATCTCTTTCTGCTTGTTGCATGAAGTGTTGTGTTCTCCTGGGCATCCCATGGTGGAGTTCTATTGCAGTTTTGCAGTATGATGGATTGACATGGAGGTTGCTGAAATAGCAAAGACCTTGCTGAGCCTTCTGCAGAGGGGAGTGGCAGCCTGTGTTGATTGTTGTAGTGATTTTTCTATGCTGGGAAAATGGATTTTTGGCATTCCTCTGGGTAGGTTTTTTATTTGAGACTTCTGCTCGAGGGAGTAGGATGTAGAAATGTGTTAGTCTGTTCCAGCTGGCTTAGTGTAAAATAACTTTGCCATTCTGCAGCTCTACCACTTCAAAGTTCACTTTGTGAACATCCTTCCTTCCTGTTAGATAGTTGAATGTCGTAGAATTGGGTATTTAGGATCCACTTCCAAGATCCTTTAAATAACCAAATTTCACCTCTTGCAATGCTGATGTTCACTTGTTGCAAACAGAACATCTGGAGAATACAAAAGATGTTCTGTGAAATACAAAATACTTCCCACTTATTAATTTCCTTTTACTTGAATGTTATTTCAGTGCCAGGGACACCTAAGTGTGCTGGAACTTTCCTGCCACTTGAGTGTCATGTTCCCAAATAGCTGTGATAGTGCTCTTGCTGAACTGCTTGCAGTGTTTGTCTTTTTCATGGGCAGGTGAGAACATGTTCAAAAGCACTTTTGAGCTACTAAGGTTTCCGTTTGGCAAACTTACTTTGCCAAACCAACTTGCTCTTTGCTCCTTAACAGTGGCTGCTGCTGAGAAGGACAAAAGCTTGTGTTCGTTGTCTTCTGAAAGAGGGTTTGGTTTTGCTTTTCTTTATAATTTTTTCTAAGCCTAAATCATATTTTAACTTAATAAGCAGATACATTGATCTGGTGATCAGATCTAATCTATTCATCAGATACAGTGTGAGTTGGGGATGAAATCTAATGGGGTTTGTTTCCTTCAACAAAATAGTTTTTTGTCTGCTGACTGGCCGCATCAGGGTTTTGTTTGTGTTTGTTTGTGAAGTGACTACAGAGTCACTTTCATGGCATATATAAAAGTACAAGTCAGTGCTGAGTTCCGTGGTATATTTGCCCAGCAGAGACAGGGTAGGAATACCCAGGCAGAAAGACTTAACGTGCCGCAGCTTCTGTGCAGCAAATATTAGTAGACTAATGAACTCATAAGTAGAATACATGCTGGTATGTTTCTTGTTAATGCTGTCATTGCAGCAGGTCTAGCTGTGCCCCTAGATGGTGCAATGCAACTTCAAGTACTGCATCCTTTCTGGCTTTGTGTTTTTACAGGCAGGTCTTTTAATCATCAACTTGTAGCCATTAGATAAAGGATATCTTAGCATAGGGTGAAGTTATTTTTCCTTCTTTCCTCATCGTACTCCTGTGTTTCATGAATACTCATCTACTGTATGAATTTTTTTATACTGGGAAGTGTATGTTAATGTGGTAAGTACAGCACTCTGCTGTGTTCAGATTTCTAGTGTTCTTGCTAGAGTTTGAAATGAACAGTATGTTTCAGAACAAATGTCAGAACTGCTTGAGTATCTCTTTTATCTAACATCTGCCTACTTGAGAATACAGTTAGTGGAGTTGGCAGAGTAAGCATGAATATTGTACCATGTCAGTCTCAGGGCTCACTGTTCAAGTGCAAAACTGAGGACAAACGAAAACCTTTATCAAGTGTTTCTCATACTGGCATGGGACAGATTCTGTACTCCTGGAAATCATAAACCTTCTGAAACAAAACTGCCTTGCTCTTGAGCCCATTTTGCAGCAATAATACTTGAATTCTTCTTCCTGTATAGACTTGAATTAATTGCCTTGTTTATTCAATGCAGCACAGCAAAGTGTGAGCTGGAGCTGTGACTTCGTAGGCAGCTACCACAACTACCAAGCTACTAACTGCTGCTTCTCAGAAGATGGCTCTCTGCTGGCTGTTAGCTTTGAAGAAACTCTCACGGTGTGGGATTCAGCTACCTGGGATCTTAAGTGTACCTTTTGCCATCCACCTGGAAAAATAAGGTATGATTTTCATCTATGTTTTTATGTCTCACTCGAACTCTAGAACAGAAAGAATCAACTCATAGTACTCCAAGACCTTGTGTATGTTCATTGAATTTAAGGGTCTTAAGTTCATATGTAGAAAAGTCTCTAAAATAGCTTTTAGGTGGTTGATAGCTGTTAAAAATAAGAAGATCAAGTTTTGCAGTTTCTTCACCTTGGTTAGAATCAATAGAATCATGGAATCATCATCATTCTGTTATGTTGCTTATGACTCTTGCACCTCCCAGAAATATCTATCAGTGGGCACACAGTGGTGTGTAACAGCTCTTCTCTTTTCCCCATTCATTTGGGATGAATCAAAGTACTGGGAAAGTATAACTGAGAAATCTGTTCTCTGTTCATGTACACATACATACAAATAGAAATTACATCAATAAACTATAAAGGCATATTGACCTTACTTGTATTATGAAATATATAACCTGATCCTTTCTAACCTCTGTTGGAAAATCGTAAACTATAAAGGCATATTGACCTTACCTGTATTATGAAATATATATCCCGATCCTTTCTAACCTCTGTTGGAAAATCCGTGTTTGCCTGGCAGACTATCCCAGCATGCTCCATTGTGTGCTTTATGATAAGACTTCAACATTACATGATCACAACATTTTAAAGACTCCAACACAAAGAATCACAGAAGGATACAGAGACTTCTTGCTTCTATATTTTTGTGTGTATGTCTGTAAGCTTTTCCTTTGTGTGATGAAGTCTGTTATGTTTGTACTGGTCCTTTAAGATTAGGAATTGAGAAACTTGATTCTAAAACTGGTGTGCAGGAGAACTGGGGAAGCTATGTGAGCAAGCTTTTCCCAGGCCAGTGCTTCTCTTGTAGCCTTTACTATAAATTAATCTAGGACTATATTCAATTACTGTATTAATTGCATAACTTCAAAGGGCTGTGCTTTAATATAGTTTAGAATAAGTTGAAAAAAATAATGCTTCCTTAAATTGGAACAACCTTTAAGAATAAGTTAGGTTTTTTTACTACTCTCTTTATAGTGCTTGGAGCCACAGTAGGGATTCTGAAAATATGGAAGCTATTTTCCAGTCCCGATGTGAATACTTAGGTGTTCATACATATTATGTATGGGTTTATAATTTATTTAAGAGCTTAAAATCCCTCCTTTAAATCAGAATGCTGTAGACATATGTAATCCTTATAGACTTACATATACTTTTAAATCTCCCAGACCTGTCTGATGGTAGTGTGTGAAGTCTCATGCCACTGGAGGTGAAGGCAAAAAAAGCAAACTTCTCCTCATTTAAATACCAGAACTACATCTTAATGACTTTTATGACTTTTGAATAATTGCTACATAGAGAAACAAAGATGAAATCTGAAGGTCACTGACTTGTTTTGACTTTTTACTTCTGTAGGAACATCTGCTTTGGGAGACTAACATGTTCCAAGTACCTTGTTGGTGCCACTGATTATGGCTTTCTGTGTTGCTGGAACCTGCTCACTTGTGCATGTAAGATCAGCTTGGATGTGTGCTACAGTAATTTAATACTTGAAGTTACTATCAAACCTTAAAGTAATTCTATTTTGATTCCAGATTGACACATTGTTCTGTGGGAATGTGATGTTTTTCATGCTCCAGTTAGGATAGTATCATGTCCAATGTGCATGTGCTTTATGTGCATGTGCAGAGTGGATTCTAAGTTGGTAGTAGTTGTGTATTTTTATTTCTCAGGGAATAAGTGAAGCTGCATGTGTGTTGTTTCCATTTGACCTGTGGTTTGGAGAAGTAGTTGGGCAGAACTGGGTGCCTCCTTTTCACCACTGGCTCTTGCTGTCCTTGCTTTTCAGTGGAGTGGAGTGCCCACCTCAACGTCGTCGTCCTGCAGCCTGATCCCCTGTCTGAACATATTGCTGCAGTCTCCTGGCTCTCCAAAGAGTCCAGCCGTGAGTACTGAGGCTTCTTTGACAAGGAACCATCAGTGGATTTTACAACTCTGAAAGCACAATTTCTAGAAAAGTTTTTTGTGGAATTCAGGCCATGAAAGCTGTAAGGTAGACTTGAGTCTGTGCTTGCACCTATGGAAACTGAGCCATGTCTGACAGTAGCAGTCATGTAAAGCATATTGGCTTCTCATCTTTTTTTCCAGCAGTTAGTTTCTGATAAAGGACATAGCTCAGGGTTAACCATTCTTTCTAGATGAGGGTCTGAAATGGCCTTGACCCTCTCTTGTAAATGCAAAACTGTTGTTGAACTGTACAGCTACATTTCAGAGCTCTGACTACAAATTATGATTACTTCCTAGAGCTACTGTCCTACAGCAACATTAATTTCCAGGTATGTTCCCTGGGTTGGAGTACTGTGAAAGTTTCCTTATGCAGTAAGGTTATCCAGCTGTATTTCTACAAACCAGTGCTTGAAGGCTATCCAGTCCAGTCCTTGCTGGCTCTGATAACATAGGGCTTTGACAGCTACATTTTACAGGAATGTAAGAATTGCATGATTTAAAGAGAAGACATTCTTGGTTTTGCAGTGTTTGTGTTCAAACCAAATGAGCCAAGGCCAATCTATATCCAGAGAAACCTCTGCAAAGAAAAGATCCTTCTTGCTGCCTTTGTTCCAAGAGATGAACCTGAAACAGTTGGCTCAGAAAAACACCTTTGGCTAAGAAGATCCCAGCTGTTTTTTCTTACAGATACACAGGTAAGAGAGAGCGATTGGCAGGCAGTTCCTGGGGATAAAGTATGGTAAGTGTGGATTGATACAAATTCAGAGTTCTATTAAGTGTAAGAGTTTGTTTAAGCCATACTTTGGTCTTAGTTAAAAGCTTTCAACTGCCGAAAGAGCCTAAGGTCAAAATTATTTACTGGTTTTCTACTGCTAGTAGTTTCTGCTGTCTCATTTGTACAAGAAACTAGATAAATTTGGAACATTGCCTATGCATTCTAACTTGGACAACCACCTAGAAGCTGGATGTGTTACTGCTGATTATACAAATGTTTCATATGCAAATTAGGTTCACCTGTAATTTCTGAGTGGGTGTGGGGTTGGTTTTTGTTTGTTTTCCCAAAAAGTCTGTAGAACCTCTAGGTCACTTCTTGCTTCCTTTCAGTTTCTTGACAAACTAAAGAGGAAGAGATGTTTTTGCCTCTTCCACTTGACTGATAAATCTTTTGGGTCAGTTGGAAGCTTCTGTAGGCTGTGGAAGGTATGGAAACATGGAAAGCAGTTTCATACATGATAACTGTGCTACATCCTTCTGTATTTCAGGAGCTAATGACACTTAGCACAAAGTCTCTGGAAGAAAGGCTTACACCGTCAAGCAAACAGGTACGTACATACTTCATACAAGAAATGTTTCATACTGAACAGAATAAAACAGCAGCACTTAATTGATTTGGTTGGTTAGATAAAATAGATCAAAGTAGGAGTTAGTATCATTCTAATACAAAATCCAGTGAGAATAAGCAATCAGTTTCTTTGGAGGGTGGGGGAATAATTTGGTGCTTAGATTGAGGTAAGATCTAGGAAAATTCCAGGAGGCAAGTCACCATGTGTCGCTTTCAGATACATAATTGAATCTCTCTGCAGGTGATGTTGGGGTTATAAGTGATCTTTTGGTCCTAAATGGAATCTGAAAAACCCATACTCACTTTTTTCTGGCACATGCACCACCTTCCATATTTGTTATAATGCATTTTGCAATATATTAATCCAACTTGTAATAATGAGCTAACTAAAATCTGGTGTTCTAGAGTCCAGACTGGAGAGTTTTGTGACACTCTGTGTAGGATCCTCTCCCAGATGCCTGACAGAGAATGAATACAAAGAGACAGTTTAGTTTAGCTGAGCTGAATTTGAGTGTACAGTTTTATCCCCTGGGTCGATTCTGAATTTGGTAACTTACAATGAGACAGAACTTAGATTTGTGACACTAAAATTCTCCTTAAAACTTCCATGTTTTTCAAGCTGGCAGTAGAAGAAAGTCTTCCTGTGACTGCGTTTAGCGTGCTGTTGACAAAGCACAGACGTCAGCAAGCACAAGAGGATACAGACCTTGGAAAACTAGTTGTGAATAAGCATGAGGAAGCTTCACCTGCTGTCAAGGAGGTAGGAGTCATTACAGTAAGTGTACAAACAAAACCATGACAAACACAATCTTTTTTAAAGCTTCTGTTTTCTCTTTTCAGCTTCTGCACACTCCAGCACATGTGTTGCCATCTGCTTCCTTCCTCTGCCCTATATTCATTAATTCATTGCTCATCTCCAAAGAGAACAAAAGGTAAGAACAGTTGAAGAACTCTCCTTAGTTACTGAAGTTGCTTTAAACTATGTACATATTGGTTTAAAGTGTAAAAGCAGTTTACAACACTCTCCACCTGTTCACATAAATTCGTAGAACACTTGAAGGGGGAAGAGCTTTTAAAACAATGCAGTTGAGGGGAGAGAGGTGGTCTGGTCTGCCTCTTTAGTGTATTGGCTCTTTCCTATTATTTTTGCTGGTACTCAAATGGTCTTTATACATCTAACTTTATTATGGGGATTTAATGCTGTTTTGGTTAAATGTTAATGGTTAAATGTTAAATGTGTGGTTAAATTTTGGTTAGTGCTATTTTTGGTTAAATGTCTTTATTTGAAATCATTATGACTTCCTGCAGAATTCTTGGTTTCAGTTTCTAGATACACTAAGGTACTTAGGTTTAATTTTAACAATTTGGCACTGAAATTTCATTTCTAATTAAGCTGCAAGCTACAAGTGTCTACTGTGAACGCAGCTAAGCTTGTCTTACAGTGCATTAATTTCAAATTGATGGAGTAGTTTAATAGGTACTTAAAAATGTGTTGTACCTTGCTCCCTTGAGGTCAATGTATGCTGCTAAAAATGAAAGCCTGCACTCCTTGTGGATCTGCAAAGACCAGTGAGTGGGTGGTTCCTACTGCCAGGCTTTACCTAGGGCCAGACACCACTTGGAGTAGCTCTGGCATGTGCATTTTATTCTGCCATAACATCAGTGTTGTCAGTTGTGCTGGCCTGAATTGTGAGCTTTCCTTACTGTGTGGCACAACAAAAGCATCAACAAAACACTGCCCAAAATCTAGTACATGGAAACTTGCATCTGGTCTCAGTACTGAAGGACTTGAGAGTTCAGTGACCTGTGTAAATATTTGCATATGTAGAGCTTGTACTTTGACAGTGCTGATTAGCATGACTTGAGCATTTAAAGGTACATGGAAGGGCTGTAGCATCGAGCTCTTGAAGAATGACCAAAATATATCACTCTGTAGTGTATATATTATACAATGTATGTATTCTGAATGTTATATATTCTGACTGTTAAATGCTTTTCTTTTCCTTGGCAGTATATGTCTGTATGCTTCTCCATTTACATTTTTTGAGTGATAAATAGTTTGTATTAGAACAGATGATTTTTTGGAGGCCAGTACTATTCTGCCATGCAGTTCACTCCTTTTGAGGTCCAGAATGTTTATACAACAGACATTTGAATTAATACTGTTAATTTCTGCAGTTACATAACATAATTGGAGAAAGAAAAATACTTTGCTTAAGTCTGCTTAAAACAGAGGACAGGTAGCTGAAAAATGGCTTGAAATTGAGATGGCAAGAAAAGGATAGTAGTTTTAAAGTAGCCTGAAATGAAGAAAATTTAGGCATTCAGAAAATTCTCAGGCATTGGAATGTGCTGCC